CCTGACACTTCATGCGAGTCCGCTTTACTTCGACAATAAACAAAAATTTACTTGTTTTCAGCGTGCCCGGATGATAAATCTTTTACCAGCCATTGTGGCAAAGATCAAAAATGTAAGCATAACAATGAGATATGCTACCGTGATATGAAGGATAGCTCGAATCCTGGAAGTACCATAATGGCGTGCTGTGGTAGGTGGGCAAAGTTTTAATAAAAGATGTATTACTCTCTTAGTTCAAACTGAATATTTCTGCCCTTCCACTGGATTGTATACAAAGCATCATGAAGGAAATGGTGGTTGGTTATACAAGTATCTTGGCGAAGCCGAATTACCAAAAGATCTCTGGTACAGACGTTGGCATATAAAGTCTGGCGAACATGGAGTTGCTTGTCGTAAGTGTTGTGATCACCATAGAAGAATGACTAATCTTTTTTCAGCACTTCCGAACTCGTACACATTGAAAGTACCAGGTGAGACGCATCTTCCAATCGAATGGGAGAACAGGAAGCATAAAAAATGCCAAAAGAACTCTGATTGTGATGACGGACAATTCTGTGATGCCGTCTGGAATCCGAGCTATGAAAAGGGTACGGTACCATTTCTGGATGAAAGTCTCAATGGGAAATCGATTCGATTTTGCTACAAACGTATGTTGAATTTTTTACTGATTATGTTTTTTTTTTTAATTTTTTAAAGGGGGCTCCGTTTTCAAATTTTATTGTATTTCAATGTTTAAAAATTATGTATCGTCTTAAAACTATAGCGAATTGAAGCGAAGTTTTGTAATTTTCTTTCTTTTTTGAGAGTTTTCTTATTAGCTTTTTTCTTAATTTTTGGTATCATTATGATTTAGGAATAATTTATTTATTATTTTCATAATTCATAACGGAAAAATACGAAAAAATGGAATTTTTTCAAAATAATATCTTCCTTATATATAAAACGCTAGATGCGTCTGTTGGTCTCCGTGTCACTCTGTCCGCTTTTGGAAAATTTGAAAAATAAATTTAGATTTACGTGACCCGTTAAGAAAAAATTAGACGAAATCGCGCCAAAGGGCACCACCTAGCTGGTTAGGAAGAAATATAAAAGCAAACAACATTATTTGGGGTTTAAGTCCCCCTTCAAAGAGAAAGAATGTAATTGAACGTTTTCAGATCCGGATCTTCCTGAAAACATGAAGCACGTTGAGCATGACAACGGTCTCAAGTTATGCACCTCGCACTACGATTGTAAGAGTATGGATCAAGTTTGTCATGAAGAAAAAGACAAAATAACATACTACAACGAAACAAGTGGCAAGAAAGTATCAGGGATTTGTGTCCACGGTAACCAAATATCACTTTCTATTTTTCTAATACACAATATTCTTTCAGTTGACTCGTGTCCCAAAGGAATGGAACACTCCCGGGCGGTTTTGAATACCAATAGTCAGCCTTGTCATGAAAATACCGGATGTCAGGGAGCTGGTGTTTCAAAGGGCAGCTTTGACTTCAACCCCCATTGTCTTTCCTACTTCCCATCTGATCCATCTCGTAAACTTTGTTGTTTCGAGAGGAATCCAGAATGCCGACTTGGAAAAACGGAGACCCCAATCAAGAATTGTACTCAGATGTCGGACTGTACTGGAGATGTTCTCGTAAAGGATGCCAAATGGAATTTGTGGTGTGATGATAGTGGAAAGAACGTGTGTTGCAAAGACATGGAAAACAAACTCTGGCAATGTCCGGATCTTGTTACTCCATTGTTCAACGAACCAAAATGCACTGGATACTCGAAGGATAATATTCATTCAGGAACTTGTCCAAAGAAAGGAGGACGTTGTGTTCATGGTCATTGCTGTCCACCATGTAAGTTACAAATAGAATAAGGTTATTTCTAAAAATTAAATTTTTTCAGTGTCTATTTCGGAAAACGGCACCAAAGTTGATCTCGGCAAAAACCTCTACGAAACGGAATTCCCATGCAATCCGGCTAATCCTATTCAGCCTGGTTTCTCTTACGCATTCTGCAATGCAGATACTAAGAAGCTGATTATTGTTGGAAAATTCCACAATAATGGAGACAGCATGACAAAGGTTTCTGGATCCAAGTGCACCATAAACGCTGATTGTTCTCCCGATGGAAGTTCAGTTTGTGTTTATGAGAATGATAAGAATCATGTGTGCTACTACAATCCACTTCGTGCACTTCGTCCAGAAGTTTCTTCATTCTGGAAGACTGTTCTTATTATTTCTCTGGTCTGTGCTGGTGTCTTCATGATCATCTCGCTCGTTTGCTTCGTTTATTATCGTTCCAAATCTGTGTTCGATAAATATAAGAAGAAGGGAAAGAAGGGAGGAAAGGGAAGTGATTCGAAGAGCAGCAAGGGTGGAAAAAATAAGAAGAAGGGAGGAAAGAAAGGTGGAAAGAAGGGAAAGAAGGGTGAGGAGAGTTCCAAGAGCTCCAAATCGAAGAAGTCAAAGTCGAAAAAGGACACGGAGAAGTCGAAATCCGAGGCGACGACTGGTGATGGATCCACCAGCTCTCAGTTGAACTAGAAAATAACCCCCACTAGTATTCATGGATTCTTTTTTGAATTATTAGAAAATAAATGTGTAATTGTGTAATTGTCTAATTGTTGTAATAAAAACATGCAGGTCAGACATTGATATCGAAAATTCATAAACTTCTCGAATTTCGTTTTTTGAAACGTTGATTTTTTGAACTTTGTTACATTTCAATTTTGACCGGAAATCCAAAATTCCGATTTCAAACTTTCTAAATCCCTAAACTTCTTTAATTTCAAATTCTAGGTATTCCGGAAGTTTTTGGTTTTTTTTTGAAAATTATAATTTTTTGAATTGATAAATTCTAATTTTGGCTGAAAATCCAAAAATTTGATTTTCAAACTTTTTGAAAATCCCTGTTAAACATGAAATTTTGATCCTGATTTTAAAAAACTCGATTTTCAGAAGTTTCAATTTTCGAATTCCGAAAATTTTCCAAATTTGCTTTTTGATAAATTCCGAATTATCAGGAATTCTTCAATTTGTCACTTTTTTGAATTTTCAGTAAATTTTGAATGGCAGATTTTCGTTTTTTGAAATTATTGAATTTGTGAATTTAGTGATTTTTTTTTCAGTTTTTGTGAAAATTTCCATTTGTGATCTAGAAACCAGAAAATTCGAAAGTTCGCAATGTACGGAGAGAATTACGAAACTTAAATCCTGAAATTAGAAATTCGGGTTTTCAAATACCGACAGAAAACATAAGGAAAAAAATATATAAGAAGAGGCACAAGTTTATTTTTCTTGAACGTTTTTCACTTTGTTATGGATGAGTTCAATTGTTGGATTGGAAGGTGGCAGAAATAGGCCGATGAAGACCGCCAGTTTGAAAATGTAGTACAACGGAATGTACTCAAGAATACGATCAAATAGGACGAAGAATCCGAAAAGTGTCCAGTAAATGAACATGATTCCAGAGGATAGTCTTTCCGATGGCTCGCAATATGTCAAAACGATTGGAGCTGCTACAAGTAGACTATTCGCCAAGTAGTGAGGCTCTTTGAGAACGACCAAAAGAGCCAGAATGAACATGATTGTTCCTTTGATGAGCTAAACTTTGAAGAATAAGCTATCCGTTCCAACAAAAGGAAACTACCAGTTCCACTTCGACTCCAACGATTTCGCTGAACCTTTTCGCCCATCTTGCAGTTGGATACTTTTGATCATGGATGAGGCTGATGAACCAAGTTTGCACTTCCAACTCTGACTTGCTTATTTTTGAAGGATTGAAATGATGGATTGAAACAAAAAAAACGAAAATCGCAAGTTACGTAGAATTCAGAAAAGAAGGAGAGCACGAACAAAATCTGGATAATGAAGTCGTTTTTATGTTTCACAAATATCGACACTATAACAATGAAGACTCTATTTATCGGTTAAAAAACGGAAGCCCACAAAAAATAAAAAAATTATCTACTTGTTCTGTGTAGCTGGTTTCTCAGTAACAGTTTCAAGAATAGTTTCGTATCCACTGGTAATCGATTGATTGCGGAAAGCTGGGAATGTCTCCCATGGAGAGTTCAAATCGAATTTACGAAATTCTTGGGCCATCTCCGATGGTTCGTAGACGACACGCTTCAATTCTGGATCATAACGGACTTCATTGTATCCAGAGAGTGGATAATCCTTGCGGAACGGATGTCCCTCGAATCCATAGTCAGTGAGGATTCGGCGAAGATCCGGATGATTATTGAACCATACTCCGTACATGTCGTATACTTCACGCTCGTACCTGGAAATCGTTCTTTGATATAACTTTTGGAAGTTGAATAAATCTTCAAACTTTCGCTTTTACAATACTTTTTTCTCATAAAAATGATAACTCACCAATCAGCTCCCTTGAAAACTGGGGTAACAGAATCGATTGGGGCAATTTCGTCAGTGTAGGTGCGAACACGAACTCTCGCGTTAAATCGAACCGAGTAAAGAGCGTAGATGACCTCAAGACGGTTCTTGCGGGTTGGAACATCCATTCCAGTGATGAAAGTTAGGTTGGTGAACTGGGCAGAATGGTTTCCCTGAAAAATGAAGAAATTTGAAAATATTCATAAACGATGATAGAAGAAAAGTTTTTATAGCATTACAACTTTACAACTAAGCATTACAACCTGCAATTTGCAAGTCAAATCATTCTTTGATTTCAGCGAGAATTAGTATTTGAAAAATTACTTTTAATTTTTTTTTTGAAAAATTAGAAATCTCACCTTGAGGAACGAAAGAACTGGGACGACTCCAGAAGGATGAATCAAGAGTTCCAGCTCATCTCCTGCAGCGAATTGTACTTTCTGCACGAATTTCGGCAAGCACTCGGCAGCATACTTTCCAAAGTTAGCTAATCGCTCACGCTTCTTCTCGTCAATCTTCCAGATAGTTGCTGTAAATTCGATTTTTTAAAAAAATGGTTTCCGTTTTGAGTTGTACGTTTTTTCGGAGCATCTGTCTTGGTTTCGATAGTTTGTGATACAACAGAAGTTGTGGAGATTGGAGACTTTCTGATGACTTGTCTCGAAACTGCCTGCCGGATTACACTACCCAGCATTTTCTGAAATGTAGAAAAAAATGAACAGTGTCAACAGTATATTTTTTATTAAATCAAGCGAAAATGTAATAGTAAAACAGAAGAAAATATAAAAGTTATCAATCGGTCGGTCGCCGGGCACAAAGAAGACGCAAGCATATCCGTTTATGCGCCAACGTGGGAGGTTGGCGTATCTCTCGCTTCGGACGCGGAAGAGGACTCTGGACCGTTTCAGAATGATTCCATAAGAGATTCAGCGAATTGATGAGTCCTTGGGTCATCGTACAGTGTCTTCTGACCTTTTGAGTTCAACCTGTCGAAGATAAGACGCACACCAGTTAGAATTTGTTGAAAGTTGCCTGAAATCAAAACATCATATTTACAAGCAAAATGAATTTTAATTAATTCATTCACCTGTAACAAAAACTGCAGTTTCTTCACAGTCCGATTCGTATTTTCCTAATTCGTCGCCTCTCTCAAAACGAACGTCTACATTTGAACTCAACTTGATTTCGTTGATTTTTGCGCCGTTTTTGCCTGCAAGAATTTAATTATGAAAAAACAACACTGGAAA